GTACATATATTACATAAGATTATATATAACAGATTATATAAGGTAACATTTAATCTGGTATATATGTATATTATGTAAGGTAACATAATATATATCATATTAAAACATATGATAATATATGATTTTATATATATACATGTGTGTATATTTATATGTAGGAATTGAAGCCTTCTAAACTAGGACTACTCAGATTAGGTAACTAATAAATGGTAAACCTAGAACTGGAATCTTGATTGTTTGTCTTCAAATTTAATGTTCTTACTACTAGCCATGCTGCCTCCTCCATAGAATATTCTACCCTAAAAATATTTTAGCACAATTAGTTCAGCAGATTAACAGTCTTCAACAGATAATTAGTCTCTATTTGGAATGGAGTCTCAGGCACGTGTGTGTGTGTGTATGTGTGTTTTTCCTGAGTTTTTATTATGAATTTCAGACATAGAGAGAAGTTGAAAGAATGGTACAAAGAACAACCATCTACTCTCCACTTAGATTCAATAATTATTAACGATTTGCCATATTTGCTTTCTTTCTTTTAAAAATATTATTTTCAAGAATAATTTTGAATAATCATGACACTTTACCCCTAACTACTTTAGCTTAAGTATAAAGACATTCTTCCACATACCTGTATTTCACTTGTAACTAACAATAATCCATAACAATATCAAATTACTAGTCCATAGTCAAGTTTTTCCACTTGCCCAGTTCCTATTCTAATGTTGTCAATTGTCCATTTAAATGTTGTATAATTGTCTTTTATAGCTCTTTCTTTAGAATTAGGATTCAAATTGGAATCACTCACTGACTTTGGTCATTAGGTCTCTTAAATCTTTTTAAATCTAGAACTGAGCTAGTTCAAGTGCTACTGAGCACTTGAAATGTGGGTAGTCCAAATCGAGATGTGCTTTAAGTATAAAATAGACATCAAATTCTGAAGACTTAGCATGAAATAAAGAATGTAAAATATCTCAGTATAATTATAATATTGGTTAAATATTGAACTAATATTTTGGCTACATAGAGAGAAATAAAATATATTATAAAAATTAGTTTTGTCTATTTATTTTTTTTAATGTGAACACCAGAAGATTTGAAATGACATATGTGGCTTGCATTGTATTTCTCTTGGGCAGAACTGGTTCTAGAGTGTTCCTCCTTCCTTTTTTCCCCCAAGACATTGACTTAATGACATGTTTATGACAGTTGTCCTCAGAATAAGCATAGGTATATTTTGGTGGGAAAGAAAAGGTAGGAAAAATCTGCAGAAAAAGCTGCTTCTTGGGAGGACTTGGGTAGAATGTCCAGGTGGGAGAAACCCTAAAGAGTCTGCTAAAAGAAGGCCTACAAACATCCTGCTGTGTCAGGCATTTGCTCTGCAGAGGCCAGTTATTGACCTTTGCTCTGTCTGCCTCCTTCACAGATTTGTAAAGTGTCTGAGGATTCACTTTCATGTAATATTTTGGGGGTTTTTTTGGCCTAATGTATTTTTTTTTCAGTTTTTTTCTTCTTCTTTCTGCCTGCTCACTTCTAAATTCATTCTCTCAGTTCGTTTTGGGGCAAGCCTGCTGTTCCTGAGTGCAGCTGTAACCATCTCTCAAAAGTTCCTGGACATTGTTGCCTTGGACGAATCAGTGGGCTTTAGAAACACTCCAGACTACCTGCCGGAATCTCTCCCTAAGATGCAGATGCCTAACTCCAGACTTGTTCCCTTTTAGAATTTTCATGTAATGGTTCACCAGTCTTCTTTTAGAGAATAACAACTTTTTATTTTATTACAAAAGTTATGTCCATTTTAGTAAAGGTAAAAAATATAGATAAACAAAAACAAAACAAAAATCCTACCCTTACCCCAACCATTATACAATAGGATAATTTGGCTGCTCCTAGAGTAATAATAGTATATATTCCTGCCCTCCAGTATTAGTTTCCAATTGCTGCTGTAACAATTATTCAA